ACCACTACCTGCCAAAACAGCACAAAGCAGTAGAACTTTGGGGCCTGAAATCCTTCTTACATCTTATTTAGTGATGTAAAGTCTCCTCTGTGATTGATCTGCTTCTTAGAACTGCACAATGTGATGTGCAAACACTAAAACTGGGCCACTGGAGAAGACGAATGGAAGGATGTCAACTTCAGAGGGATTTATGGCTAGTAAATAAATACTTTTTTTTTTTGTTAAACCAGGCCCTGTAACATAAAATTGCTTGATGTATTTCAATGCAGCAACCACGAGAATGATCCAGTACATGCAGCTGGTTGTGTTGGTTTTATTTTGTCCATACTGAAAGGCATTTTGCATTTAACTGTAAAATATTTGAGTCTTCCAGCCACGACGTGACCCTTGTAGGCACAAACAACACTGACTCATTTCTACTCCGACACTTCTAAGAGACAGAGTTAATTGGGAATTAACATAAGAAACTTATGTAAATCACAGAGAATTTCCTTTTAATTTGACATTTTCACTGGGTTTTTTTCCTCAGTCACACAAAAGTAATATAACTTAATAACCATGGTAAAAAGTTATTTGACATTACAGCTGAATTTGTTTTTTATTTAAACAACTTTTGGTCAAATTTAAATGTGGGTTCCATAAGTATCAGCATGTTCAGCTCAAGTGGCCTGCTCCAACAAAATAATAGGATAAACTTAATGAAAAATAATAAGCGCATACATAATAAGAAATTCTAGTTTTTTATTATTCATATTTTTGTAGTTTTAGCCTTGTGTAACGTAGCCGTTTTCAAGTGAACCATTTTAAGAGATCCCATGTGAAATAAGAGTGAAAACTGTCTTTGGAAATTATTCATTGTTCATTTAGTTTTAGTTTGTTTTGTGTTTGTTATTTTGGGATTTTATTCAACGTTGAACAGTTAAAAGGAGCTGAGCTCTTAGGCAAGGCTGGACGATTGAAGTTCTAACCACCCACATCTTTTTCATTTGTCATAAAAAGGGAATAAAAGAGTTGCAAAAAAATCATAGCTTTATGTCTATTTTTCTGTAACTTAAGACAAAGATTTAGTACAAACATGAGGATGTTGCATCCATCTTAAATGACTCCGTCACACATTTCTGTTAAATGAAAAATATTTGATACAGTAACATTTTAAAAAAGCTTTATACATTAATACCACTGTTCCTGATTTGAAAGAACCAACTAATCAGATATTGACGAAGAAAATAATGTTGTAATACCATTATCAGAGGCCTCTGAAGAAAATTTTTGCGGGAGGAAAAAAAAGGAAAACATATTTGGCCTTTTTGGACATTTTGTCTTAAACCTCCACTAAACAAATATGATGAAAATATCTTACAGAACACGTGGAAATAAATAAATATGAATTTAGATCCGATAACTGATAAGAATGAATGATTATAGTAACCGATGACCCTTACACCTGATGATGATGATAAGTCAAGGCAGTATGGCAGTGAGGTCTTACCTTGATATATTTAGCAGGACAGTGCACATTGTCCATGGAGTGTCAGGTCATCTGCAGCCCAAAACGCTGCCTATCAGTGCCGACTAAACCCCGTCACACAAGCCTCACATGCCTGGGCTTACAGCAGGTCGTAGTCTGCTCTGCCTGGCTTAAGACACAAACACACACACGCTCTCACCCAAACACACACACTGAGCTGTAAAGGATCGTCGCCCCGAATAAAAAAACAAAACAACAACCCTCATATGAGCTTACAGTAGCGCCATTTGGAGGCAGTGACAGCAAACATGTATGAATTGATTACATAAAGCCAGAAAAATCTAGTTCAGCAAACCTAGACTTTATAAGAGAAAAGTTTCGGACGGAGATTATTTAACTCCCCGGCTGCCTTTGTCCTGCTCTAACTAACCCATTTACAGCCACCTGCAACCCACTGTGCCAAATGGCAGCGGGCCAGGGGCCGTCGTACAGTCAGCCTACTCAGTCTGCAGCGTGTGTGTGAAGAGTAGGGAGGAGGGGGGGAAATGCGGGAACAAAGAGAAAGGAGAAAGTCACCATTCCGGGTAGAAACACAAAAAACACAGTCATGTTGATATTTAAATCCCTGTGTCCTCCGTTGTCCCTTTCTGTCACACACACACACACACACACAGACGGAGAATCCAATCTCCTCAGCCTGTGCTCAAGTGTTGAACGTCATTCCAATCAGCATCAGCTGAAGCACTAGGTTAATCCTCGCCCGAACACACACAAAACAGGAGTGAGTGAGAGGGAGAGAGGGGAAAAATGGAAGGCAATTATGAGACTGGTTGTGTGATGACTGGTCTTGTATGGTTCAGTGATGGGCTAATTCTTCCTGTCAGACACAAATAGCCGGTACATGGAAACTATCATAAGACCCATTTTTGACGTCAGAGCTCGGTAAGCCTGGGTGGACGGGTTCATAAGTTCACAGTCCTACTTTGTTCAGCGCTCATACCTGAAAACATGTCAACAGTAAGCCTTTCCAGGCTGCGTTCAGGGGAGGCAACACTGTGTATTTCTGTTTAAAGCGTTAAAACTCAAGTCAAACAATCTTTCTTTACATATGTACATACTCATATACTTTTTTTATTGGTTCAAACAGGTATCTTTCATGATTGACACTAAGAATGGTTTATTTGGTGTCTGTTAAGTCTAACAGAATAAAAGAAGTGATTATTTCTGAGCCTATATTTCTTACATTTGTAAAAGCAGAACCTACTGACAAACAATTATCTTCAAAGACGGAAATGCTTATCTAACACGAACTGGCCAAAGTCTTTTACGTCTGCTGGCTCAACGGGCTTAAAATGAAAGTACCCGTTTTTGTTTTTATTCATAAGAATATATGGACGGAGAACAAGCAAGAAAACCGTAACCTGTTCAGCTATTTCTATCATATTATATCTATGTTATATTATACAATAATAATTTTATTTTAGTCAGTTTGTCGCAGAAAAAAACAATGTAGAGAATAATGACAAAACATTATAAAATGTGCCTTCTTACCGGATGCAATTATGTTTCACGTGTCGTTACAAATTTGTAACATATTGACATCAACAGATAAATAACTTATTCTGTCGGAGTGCTGAAGTCTGGCTTCGTTTTTTCTCGCGCGAATTGGAGATGCTTTTTTTTTTTTGTAATACAAGGCGCCCCAAAATTGAAATAATACGTCATTTTAAATTTAACTAATTTGATATTAGGGAGCTTCAACAACGCTTTGAATTCGCGTAGTGATAATGAATAATAACGAAAAAACAATAAAAAAATAAAAAACGTGTTTTGGCTCTGTAGCTTAAGCTAAATTGGGCGTCACCACTAACTTGTCACGAGGGATTAGCCCAGGTGAGCTCGTAAAAATCGTATCCAAACCCACTATGCACTGCCGTGACAATAAAAACGTTTGCACAGCAGAAAGTTCAATGAACCAGTCCTCAGAGAGTAGTTTGCTTTTGATAGTGCTTTCCTGAAGTAATATAAAGTCTAGGGCAGAGTTTTATCAAGATAACCCACTTACCGTGTCGAATCTTTAGTGTTGGCCTCCTGTGTGATGATTGGTCAGTATTTCTAATTGGTTTATATTTGTAATATACCCGAAAAATACCTTTTTCTAAAAAAAACAAAAATGAAAATAACTGCTTGTGGAAAGGTTGTGACTGAATTCACGAAAATTGCATTTGGAAATAATATTGATAAGAAAAGGGGTTGGTTCCTCTCAGCCAACATCTAGATTTATTAGGGAGGGCACTGGCTCCCCAGAGCAGTAATAAATTCCTTATTTACCCATCCACCCCCCCCCCTTCAGTTTTCTTTTAAGCTACTTTGGCATGCACATGCACACACGCATATTCATACTGGTTTGAAACAAAACAAAACAAATGTAAACAAGTTGATTGCAGCGAGCACAAGCATGGCATACCTGTCTGTGTCATTTCTCTGCACAACTAAGAAATGAGCCAATTTATTTGAAAATTTAGTTGAGAAAATCTTTATGTAACTTCACGAAGACAAAGGCAATTTCCTCTGGGATTTCCTTCAGAGTTAAGCCAGGGATTTGGTCAACTAAGATTAGGCAGCGTTATAAATTAAACCCAGATATATGAAAATGCCTCTGCTCTGAGGAAAGGCTTCTTTGAAAGAAATAGCTGAACAGTCTGAACAGTTGAAGCCCTCATAATCTATTTTGTTTTTGTAGTAAGTACCCATTTCCAAATTACCTCACCTTTGCTGAGGTCTGAATCCATGGGGTGGAGCAAGTCAAAATGCAACCATCTGGTGGATGAGGCTGGGACAGATGCAGGAGAACTGGGTGGTATTTTGCTCCAGCAAATAGAAAAATGTGATATCACGCATAATGCAAAGACTTTAATGTAAAACTACAATGAAAGAGGGCTTCATCACCAAAACCAAACATGTCGGGGTCACACTGAAGACCATACTGACCACTGCCCATACGCGTTCATGGCTTTTACAGCCAGACTGCCGTTGATGAACAGCAATAATTCAACGAAAGACCAACCGCTGAGAGGTCAGAAGCCCCCATTACTCTGACAGAGGTGTTTTAAAGCAGGAAGGAGTATAAATACCTGAGGAGCGATTGTGGTGTAATAAGCAGCTCCTGCCCTCACCCTCCACTTTTGGTAATAAGTGTGACCTTTTTGTGCTTTCGAGAACCCGGGAAACAGGCTGAGGACCTAAGATGAAATCCATATCCACACACACCTCACTCAGTCTCCTTCACAGTTCTGGTTTATAGTGTGTTGTTGCAGGGCTCAGGAAGTTATGAAGTTCCTGGAAGTTCCTTTGTTATTCTGAGAAGATGAAATTAGCTGTACTTTGCTCATGCAGATGTTTCTTGGTAATGGGAATAAAAACTAAATAAAATGTACACACACACACATACACACACACAAACGGCATTCATCCTACACCTAACCCAGTTGATACAATAAAAACGGACAAAATAAATAACCAAAACAGGCAGTCCGGTAAAAAAAGAGAAAACAAAATCTTTATTATTTTCCTAGAAGAACAGGCTGTCTTGGAAGGGGATGTCGGGGAAATGATGGAGAGATAAAAGCAGCCGAAGAATAGGGCGGAGTCGATTAGACCAGTGGCTGAGGCTAAAACCTTGCTTTCAGTATTCATGCCAAAGCTCCCATCGGATCCCAGGCAGGAAGTATGACAGGCTCTTTTTGCATCACTTCAAGGACATCAGGAGGAAGGAACTTCTTGTCTACCACCACCTCATACACGTACTCTGAGAACCAGTCGTCCGTCATGATGAGGTAACCTACAGAGACAAAACATTTGGTGTGAAGTCATTTAACCGAATATCAGTCTGGTAGTGCTCTGTATTATACATATAATTGCATATACACATTTTCCATAATACTGGAAACATAAAGAAATGAGATGCTGCTCCTGACTTGCATTGTGCGTTGGCTTTTAATCGTATCAAGTCAAATGCGTCTTTGAGATCTAACTAAAGAAGCTAATTGGTTGAGTTATGATCTTTATGCCGAGCAGACTTTTTTCTTATCCCCAAAAGCATCTGATCGAAACTTTAAACACCTCTGTTCAAGGGTAATTTGTCCCGACATTAAACTGATTGCCGTTTCCCATCTTTCAGTAGATGGGACGGGGTAAAGAGGAAGAGCTTGATCTGTCAAAATAGAAAAGTTCTGTTGGCTCGGAAGTACTTTTTAGTCGCTGAACTGTGTTTTTTCAGGAGGCAGGTGGGTGAGAGGTGGGCAGAACAGGAGGACCCCTCGCTCCTCGGAGTTGACGGTAAGTGCACAATAGCCCTCACATCAGAGTTTCGAGCCCAGGTAAATAAAACAGAACAACGCCCGTCTGACAATGAGCCCAAATCTGGAGAAGTTCTGTCCGTTTACTGTGAAATTAAACTGACATAAACAGGGCAGTTAAAATCAAAATTTCCCACTGGAGGACCCAAAACCAGAGGGCTACAGTATCTTAGACTAGATTCAAGCTTTTCCCCCCCGATACAGCGCCACCTCTTACTCCATCTCTTCATTTGAAAACCCTCACTGTGGACTGGGCTTATCGAGGACGTCAGGGCGACCACAAAAACGCTCTGCAGTTCCAAACACTGTATCAGAATGGCGTGTGTGTTGTGTATCCATGCTCGTCCAAGTGCGCACATCTAGGATGGAACGCTGCCCGCTTCTCACTGCGGTATCCCTGCGAGCTTCCTGGAACCCGCATGTTGGGAGGCACGGTGCCTGTGTGTTATTGTTGGGTGTTATTTGTTTTGAGGGAAAGACTGACTGTCCCGTCCCAGTCCAGATGGGCGCGGGGCGAGCTCGAGGAGTGTGAAGCAGCCATCGTGCGTTTCAGTTTACGAAGGACTTTTCTGCCACATTTTGAGAGAATGATTTGAAAAAAAAAAAAAATACCCGAACATAAATATTTGAGTAGGAGTCACGTTATCCACCTTTCACCTAAAGACGGCCCACTCTGAACGGTGCAAATGAAACTTTATGCTTATGCCAACGAACTGTGAATTCAGCAACTGAATCTTTGGATATTTGGTCCCAATTTGTCCTCTTGTCACCATTATTATTAAGACAATCCTTTTGGGTTCAATATGGTTTCACAAAGTAATAATAAAATAAAAAAAAGAATGAACCTGACGGTAACTCACAGGGCAGTTCTAACACTACAGTGTGTGACGTCAAATGGAAAAGTATTGACGTTCTCATTATAAAACTGACACCCAACGCTGAACTAAACATCACCACGGACCAAATAAAGGATTCTCTCCATGAGAAAATCTCTTTACAATCCCGGAGCAAGGACTGGAAAAAGTCCAAACTGCAGAGCCTCAAACCCAATGCACCCAAGACCCAAAAGAACTGGTGCCAACACCACAGGACACCGTTAAAGGTTGTGTGGCCATGTCTCAAGGGGTCAAGGGGTGTATTTGGTGGAATGAGGAAGATGTAATATTAAGCAGGTGGTTCTAATCTCTCTCAGTGCGGGAGGCCGATCTGTTGTGTATGAAGCAGGCCATGTTTTTAACCTGAGCCCTCATGTGAGGACATGCAATTTTTGTCTCTCTTTACCATTTTCTTTTCAACAATTACCTATTGGCCTCACAGTAGAACCTATCAGATGCTAATGTTTGAAATCTGAAAATCATGTAAGTTGAATTCATTGTAAGTCAGAAGTCATTTGGACCTTCAAAACCAAATTGCAAAGAAAACTTTTCAATGCCCTTGAAATACAAAGATAAACCTTTTGTCCCTATATGAGGAAATTCTACCTGTACCATAGTTTAGTTATTTAATCAGTAGTACCTACTAATCCCATATATCTTGGGGAAAGCCACAATGCACACCAAATAAAAGCTCATCTCTCAGGAGGTTAATACTTTTTAAGATTCAACTGAAAAGAGGTCGGTGACAGGAACACAGGATGTATCTGTGATATGTAATTGTTATGTTTAACAGCCCACTTCAAAGGAAATTAAAGGCAGGGGTTGCTTTAAATGACATGATGCGACAGGTAACTGTGGCAATACAGCAGCCGATTACCAGAACACTTCAAAGCAAATGAAGCCTCTCTTCCAAAGTCCATCTGGATTCACGAGCTGCTCAATCTACAGCCGAGTCACACTGGGGAGAACGCAAACTGTCTTCAGATCCCATCAAGGACTCGAACCTGTGACAAATGCTACCGGGACTTGAGGCAAATTAACTTCCACTTCAGAAAATAAGCCGTTTTTCACGTTTGTGGAAAATTATGAGGGGTTGAGGGGCTCACGGCAGCTGTGAGGGTTTGAAGATGGAGAAAACAGAAAGTTAAACCTCTCATGAGGGACCTCTTCAGGGTTAGGAGGGAAATCAAGAGGCCTGTAGAGAGGCATTCGATCTTTTCAAACCTCATAAATAAACCACACTCTCCTCTCCCTGCTCCCTTTTTGTGTCAAGAATCACGTTTTGCAATTCTTATCCAAAACCATCTCTGATGCTACATATTTTTTGGTTTTACTTCTGATTCTATCTGCAGTAAATTTCTTTTTCATCTCGATCTTCACTTCTCTTCGATCTCCCTGCTGAACTCGGCCGGCCTCTTGTCAAACAAACAAAGACCCGGATTCCCAGGAGGACTCGGCCTCTCAAACTTTTGTTCCTTAAACTTTATTAATTTGGCTGTGGACGAGCCGGGGCTCCTGGCTGCCCCCCCCCCCCCCCCCCCCCCCCCCCCCCCCCCCCTGGTTTTTTTGGAATAAGATATGCGTAAAACACATTTCATTTGACTGTGGGGTTTTCAAATGTTTTCACTACAGTTGCTAAGGTTTGTGGTTTCGAGCAAATATCGGGAGTTTGTGTGCCCGTTTGCTCCACTGTGCAGCCGTCCGATGCATGACCGACTTGAAATACTCTCCAATAATTTGCAGTGGAATGTGGAGATCAGAGATGGGGACGAGAGGCGGGGTGGGTCAGAGGAACAGGAGGCAGAAGGATGAAAGAAATACACGTGTAATATTTAAATCCCCAATAAAAAAAACTGAAGAAAAATCCCTTCAACCATCATTTTATATTCTAAGATTTGCTGTGCTTTAATAAATCTACTTAAACTCTAAACAGTGAGATCATTAGCGTCATGAAAGGTCTGGGGTCATCTTGATTGTGGGTAGGCCAGCTCAGGACGTGGACTCCTCTGCTATGACAGCAAGGATTGGCAGCAAATTGTCTTGCTGAAATATGTGAGGCTTTACCTAAAAAAACCCCAAAACAAACATCATTGGGCTGGTACTGTCTGGGAGGGGATATCCCAGATTCTCATTTGTTTATTTCAAAAACTTAATTAGGGACGTTTCTAACGCAGCTCGAAGGTTTTACTTGATTTTGTGTCTTTATTGTGCAAATATTTTCCTGAAAATGCTCCAGGGACTCTGTCTCTCTAAGGTATTCTTTCTTTTGACAATAATCCTAAATAGCTGTAAGATGTTACACAAACTTTTTACAATTTGATATCAATCGTTTTTCCTGCTCCTACATTTCAATGTTTTTTGCTTTCAAATCATAGAAACCTTTGTAAAAAAACTAGTGGGAGAAGTCTAAAATGCGATCAACAAGACAAAGATGAATAACCATACGTTTTAGACGAGCTTGTTCAGCTGTATCTGCTAAATGCTTTCAGGGGCAAACTGCACCTTTTCTTTGGACTGCGTGTTAGCACTTACCCATAAATTTGTAGCAAAAGAAACAAAAGTCCTGACATTAATGAGGACGGAGCCTAAATAAAGGCTATTACACAAAAGAGAAATTGCTTGCAGAAAGTTAGGAGACAGAAGTCTATAGGAGTAATCCATCTTTTGAATAAAGCGTGTGATCTCTGTCTACATCTCTCTGGTTTTAAGGATTAGCTCATTCAATAACAATGTTATGCAACTAATCCCAGGGGCACTGGGTTAAAAGAAGGTAAAATAAATAAAAAAATTAAAAAAGCATCTGTGCCAAAGTGTCTGAGTCTTTATAAAACAGGAGACAGACAATTAGAAATTAATAAAGCGACAACACAGAGGGGAAGCTAGAGAGAAAATACCAAGAAATATGCAAGTAAAAAAAGAAAGGTTTGGGGGTTCTGAACAAGAAAAAAATGCAAAAGGTCCTGTAAAAAACTGTAAATATTGGAAGAAATCCCACTGTTAAAGAAGCACATCAGCTCCTGCTCCCACAGCTGGACTGACCTCATCACATCTGTTAATGACCTATGATCTTTACCACTTATCCCAGTGATATGTTTGCATCCTTTTGGGGTTTTTTTGCTCCCAATGGAGGAAATGAACAACCAAATTGCAAGAAGGTGTTTAGCAGATCCAATTCTGACGCATCTTCCAGTCTTCATGCCTAAAGCATGTCGGCATTATTAGCATGATTGTCTGCATAAAATGGCTGAAAGAAAGCCACTGCGAAAAAACAAAACAAAAAACTCCCTGCATAATCCTGTTCTTAATTAAGCCCAGACAAACAGGGGGATTATGATTCATCAACAGACCAGAGGACTTTGCTGGAAAATATGTATATGATTTCAAGAACCGCACTCAGGTGAAAGCGCAGAGGTCTTTGGCTGAAAATCGGCGTCGCAGTAGAGTAATTCCTGTCCTGGCCTCACCTTTGTTTCCACGGTCGTCGCCCCAGGAGTTTTCCACCCTCCACTTTTCGTATCCTTCTTTACCATCCTGAGAGACAGCGAGAGACAGAGGGGGGGGGGGGGAGATGAGAGTGAGAAAGTGTCCTGACAGCTGGGGCTACTTACAAGGGAGGAAATTGACAGAATTATGAAACGCTGCAGCCGATTATAGCAGTGTAAACACACAGTGCAAGCCCTGGGAAACTGAACGTGTGTATTCTCAGTGGTCAGTGAGGTCAGGGTTGAGGTTTGAGGGCGAACCTTGTCCGTCACAGCAGTGAGGATCATGGCGTGGGTCATGAGGGAGTCGCCGTATATCAGTCTCTCAGCTTTGGAGAGGTTCTTCACAGAAACACCAAACACAAGCTCGTGGTTGAACCTGTACAAACACACACACGCACAAAGTATCCAGAGAGTTAGCAGGTTATCAAAATTTAAACAGCTTTTTATTTGACCTTTGTATGAATGCAGTGCGAATGGGCCATCTGTTGATGCCTCAGTGTGAAACTGAATTATATTCTAGCCATTCTTGAATCTATTTTTGTCGGGCAGGATGAGGAGATGTGCTGACTATAATAAGCCACAAGCACTGCAGGAGGACAGATCATCACCTTTCATCTCCATCTTAAGCCCAACTGGGCACAAATTAAGTTACATTAAGCCTCAGCCTCGTTCCAATTATGATGGGCTGGTACAAAAACAGGTCTGTCTGAAAGATGAGCTTCTGCAGACTTTCGGCACCATGCTGGTTTGGTTCAGTGGGCAAATTTAAGGCTGGCGCCAGCAACTCAGACACGGCTGCTGCTCCACCTGAGGAGCAGAAACGCTTCTTGCTGCCTTTGTGGAAAGATTCAATGACCTTTAGCAAACACAAGTGGGTGGGAATCAACTTTACAAATCGTGCAAAGTGACCAAATATTCCAGAGCATGAAAGTAATTCTAGAGGAAGAGCCCTCTCAATTTCTCTCTTGTAGATGTCCCCCACAGATTAGTTTTTTTCGTTGGTTGCCATTCCTACTAATGCAAATAGCTAATGGTCTCCAACCGGTGAAACTATGCGACCATATTTATTTGCTTTGAGCAAGTCAACGGAAAAATCTGACAGTTCTTTATTAGCAGCTTTTCAACACCTTACAGAAAAATAAGAGTTGTGGATGAATATGTGGAGAAGACAGGATTTGTCCAGTTTAGATGAAGAGCTTTTATCTACAGCTCTGGGGATTCACAATCCTTTTAAGACATTCTTCCTTTGCTATCAATTCTTTGCTTTTGTGACTTCAAAAAGGTTAAATGAAACTATGACGATCTTCTCAGTTGGGTTTTAGATCAACTAATTTTGAGTTGATATCCCTCACTTAGACTCACACATTCATGTCGTTAATGCCCAGCTTTCCGTGGAAATGCTTCCCGACGTCGCAGCCAAACCACACAGCCTAAACGAAGAGGGAAAAACAAACCACAGTTATGAGCTTTCAAAGTTCAAAGATGCAAAGTCCGAGAGTGAGTGTGTGTGTGTGTGTGTGTTTAAGTCTTCAGTCGTGGCCGTTTGCTCCCACCTACCTCTCCCTCCTTAATAGACTCGGCCGCAGCCTTCTTTAGCAGCTGGATGGGCTGGTTGTTGTACAGGGTGCTGCGGCCGCCGACCATGTTCCCCAAGAACTCCACGCTGTACAGCTTCCCGTAAGGGTTTTGTGGCCGAGGGTCATTTACAAGGCAGATCTGAGGACAGGGAGGGGGACACGGCGGCACACGCTCAGCCACGGCACAGCTTCGGCGACAGATGTTCAAGCAGCCGACCGCCGAGCTACGTACTTTGTCCTGAATGTTGTATAGCGGTTTCACGTGTTCCCTGTAGAAGTCCTGCGGGGTGAGGGGTCCCATGCGGTGGAAGTTCTTATCCTTGTCCCTGTACTCCCAGCAGATGGTCTCAGGTGGACTGCCTAGACAAACACTGGCCACTCGGAAGACCTGTGCAGGTAAGAGAGGACCCGAATGTCAGAGCACAACAGGCGGAGCATCCCATTAATTCACCTCAGCGCTAACGTTTCTGAGTTTTGAATCATCTCATTTTTAATCCTTTTTTTAAACTATATTCTTATATTGTAAGTGCGCGCTCATCAAAGTCTTCTACTTCCACGTATTGGCTCTGTTAGACTTCTTCCCTCCTTTCTCTTTCTGCACCACAGACCCCCCCCCCCCTCCCCTTCTCCACCATGTGCGTCTTCCTGTGGTGCAGAAGTGCAGACCGAGTTCCTGTGGGCTAAATCGGGTTGTTTGGACTGAGCCGTCTGTCAATCTAGCCCTTCTAACCTCTGATACAGTTATCTCTGGAATTTCCTCCTTTTGCTTTTCATTGCTCCCATCCTTCGTTTTTCCTCTCCCAGGAATCGGCACAAGCTTTTCCTTTCCAATATGATTAAGAAGAAGGCGCTAAAAAATTAAGAAGCAGAGCTGACCAGTGAAGGTTGGAGATGAAGGAAGAGCAAAGACATTACCCTATACCGATTTGCAAAAGAAAAATCAGAAAAGTTTGCACCACACTGTAAGCTTCTCTGATACATCGCTAATATCCTTTTTATTGAAAAGTTGTGATATTCAGAAATGTTCACCTTTTACAAAACCACCACAATCTAAATTTAAAACTGAAGAGGAAGCAATCTTGGCCTCCTCTGGACGAATCCAGTTTCCTTGCTCTTATTTAGCCCACGCTGAACAGCTCCTTCAGACCACTGACATTGCTGCTGTTCGGAAGGACAATTCCAATACAACTAAAGGCACAATTTTCGGTCCAGTAACTCCTTCGTAAACGCACAGAAGTGGGTAAATTCAGGCCTGGCTAACTCACACAAACAACCACTTTCTTCATTACAGCAATGCGTGAAGTCACAAAAAGATCAGACACAAACAAAAATACGCACATGCTCTGAGTCAACATAGACTTCTGAACGCCTTTGTTTGAACTTCCACGAGGGCAAGACAGCCCCGCCGCGGCGTCTGTCCACATGACCCTCACCCTTTTCTTTGCATTCCTGTTTTCGGGGCATCTTCATTCCATCAACACTATCCCTGGCCATTTTCTTTCAAATAACACATACAGATCTGTGTGTGTCACCCTTTATGTCGGCTCAGCCTCGTGCCCACACATCAAGCCTTAAAGTCTGGGCTGACAGAAGGAGTCATGGAATACAGCATAACCTCTGTCCGGCGAGGTTGGACTTCATTATATAGCGGCAAATTACAACAAATGCCATTCCTCAAAGCCCGTCCCTTTAAAATTAATATCATAACTTTTATATATATATATGGAAGAAAAAGAGAGACTGGGCATGACTGGGCAGCTAAAAAGCACCTAAGAGAGGTAGAGTCTCTCAGAAGTAAAGAGGCACTTCAGCAATTGGTGCATCAATTTAAAAAATTTCCAAAATATGAACACTAATGACTAAAGAGATCGTGTGCTTGAAGTAACAGGGTATTGAAATTTCTAGGGACACGATTTGGCCAAATGCAGTTCCATTTTGAATATAAGATCGATTTTTTTTTCTTATGTCCAAACCTTTTTTTATTATTTTTTTAAAGAACTGAGGTAGCAAAGGACAAGAATCCAATTCTATAAACAATAAACTGCCTGACCGCATGGTTCTGACGCTCATTGCGGCTAATGTTCTTTGTGTTTCTTTGTTTCGCATTCCTCAAACAAACACACCACCTGAGTGAGAATAACACAAATACAGAGCAGAGAAAGCATTCCTTATAAGAAACGGTTTCAAGGTGTCCTAGTTATTTTCAAAAATCTAACTCTTCATTTCCAGCACGTTAACCAAGAAACAACACAGGAGGAATAGAAGCTGTTTACTATAATTCTGTTCCCTGAAAGATTGGTAACTAGCAGTCTATCTTTGTTCCATGTATGAGTCTCTCAAGATTAGACCAGCCTCTTAGTTTAGATAATTACAAACTAAAACGCTGAGCCTTCCAAATGACCATAGAAGTAGTTATCTTCTTTGTGCAATTTAAATATAGTGGCCGACATAATAGCTAGCGCTTCCAAACCATTTGCCAAAGTGAGGTTGAACATGCCCCTCATTTGTACCTTGAAGTCAATTTATAACCACTGTCTAGAAGCTGGACTTGTGAGTGTAAGCAAATGACACCATGCAAACAGTTTGGATAAAAATGAGCGAGGCTTTGATTAAACTTCCATGTTTTGTAAACATCCAACACATGTGGTCATCGATGAACCCCGGCGATTGTGCAGAGAAATGCGAAAAACGCACGGGCGCTGACCACTCCCGCCACACATGCAGGAAACCCACCCACATCGCGCGCCAAATCCACAGCCCGCGGCGCCCAGGCCTGCGCCTCACGGCAGGAGGGCTCCTTCGCCGGGCGGGCGGCAGCCTTAGAAACGGGGCCGGTCTTAAGACTCACCCTGCGTGTTCAAAGAGTCGCACATGCCGTCTCCGATTCCATGACGCAACAGAGCACGGAGAGGCTACAGCCGTGGCGTGAGGGATACCATCTGTGTATTTTTCATGAGTGTCAAAGACCACATGTACATTTCCACTGATTGCATTTTTCTCTTTCTGTGGGAGTATGTGTGTTTGCTCGCTCTTTCTGCAGGTGCCGATGCAAATGGGACTCGGCGTTGTGGGGAAAAAGAAAAAAAAAGATTCTCGACATGCACGTCTATTTGGTTGAATTAAAACCGCAGAGCGCACAGTAAATGGAAACAGAGATGTTGACCCCGGTCGCGTGTCACTAAAGTGATGAAGACCAGGGCGCAATCACAGCCGCCACATAGGGAGGGTTGGACAGCATCACCTTAACGCACACTAAAATAAAACTGACACGGCTCTTTGATCCCAGGTAACACGGCAGTTTCCCCACTCAAAAGGAGCCTGAGAAACACTATGAATGTGAGCCATCAAATAACCAGGAAGCAGAGAATTTAGACTTTTTCAGGGCGCGTTTAGAAAAAAAAAAAAAAAAAACGCCGCCAACAATCCCTTCACAGGGGCACGTTCTCCGAGACTTTACCTCCAAGTTCCTCCTGCCTTGTGAGACACAATGAAAAGCGGACGAGAAACCAGATGTCCATCATCCAATGCGAGCCTTTTGTAATTGAAACGTACAGAGTTCTGATGAAACTACCATGCATTGTAAATCAAACTTCAGTCTGTTGTGATGTTTTCGACCACACAGCTTACAGTCGGTGGACCAAAATTAGTCAACAATAGCCGATATAACCACATGGGAGAGCGATTGCTGTGGGAAACTTTAGTTAAGCGCCACAGTAGGACTCACATTTCCAAACCCCAACTTCAGGCTGCAAAACAAGAGGATTTATGCAAACCTTCTGCACATCTTGTCCAGATTACACATTGTTGTTTATGAACCACATATAGCTTTAAATGCTAATGAGATAATATATAGGTGATCAGAATTTTGGAAAAACTTGCATTCTTACATCGTCAGAACCATACTTCTTTCTGGATTTGGGGCAAAAAACGTACATTTAAAACAACTGACCCGTGGAGTCAAGCATGTTAAGTGGTATTAGTGTCAATTGGAGTTTCATTAAATAACCAGCATGAATATCTAGGATCTTACAAAAAATGTAATCTATTAAATGTTAGTGTGCAGAAAGGGTTGATAAAATAAAATAAAAAACAAAAAACACTTTGAACAATCGCTTCTTTTGACATGAGAAAAATTGCCCATCGCCATTGGCCGTGACAGTGGTGCCTTTCCCAAAAACAAACCAATTCCAGGTGGACAAACACGCCTAGACAGTACACTGCAAGCAGTCTTGACTGTTGGACAACAAATAACTCGTAACATGTGTGTGTGTGTGAGTGTGTGTGGGAGAGAGGTGATGACTGGGCGTCCACAAAAGGTGCAGTGAGATACGAGCAAATGTTTGAACGAGCAGCACAATACTGGTTGATAACAAAAGACCTGTTAATCGGACCCCCGCGTCCTCGTTGAACACTGTCAATGGGAGACTGATTGACTGGCCCCTCACACACACACACACACAAACAACACACACAGGAAGTGTCAATTAAGCTTCACACCTACACCAAGCTGCCCGGCCCACAAAAAACAAAACAAAAAAAAAACAAACGCAACAGGGCACCACGACCTTGCTCGGCGCAGACATGCGCACGACACGTGTTACACCCGCCATGCGTGGGTTTGTTTACACGTTTAAAAACACACACACACACACACACACACACACACACACACACACACACACACACACACACAGGAGGTGGACTTCTGCGTTGGAGGTGGACCCGTCACTGCAGCGTGGCGTCACATCGCTGGACTGTTCCGTAAACAAGATTGCTATCGGCGAGATTTAGTTTGGATGGCTTTAAACAGTCAGTTCAGAGCTGAGGTGTGCGCGCCCGGCACACACAAACACGTGCGTCAGCACCAGTGTGCGCACATCAGGGAGCTTAAAGCCTGGCACGTCGGGAGCGGGGGCCAATTATTCAATATAATTAGAGGAAAATGGGAAAAAAGGCCTGATGATCTTTTGAGGCCTTAAAGAGAAAAAAAAAGTTGGAGGATGTAGAAAAAAATTTAACTGGACAATGCTAACATTGATCTGAGGAAGTTGTGTTTGTGCGAAGCAGGTCAGTGACCAATATGTAATTTCCACCACGTGACCCCTGGGATTTAGGAACAAGGTTGACAAGATTTCATAGAGGGGTCTGTGGGATTACAAAACTAGAATCATTACATAAAGTATCTTAATAGATGTTTTTCTGCCATTTTACACACCAAATTACGCCCCTCCTTTTTGAAGACATTTCAGTCAAACACTAAGTGTCATCAATAACTTCAGCCAGTTATAGGGCCGATCCCTCCACCAAAGCTTTAATCTTTCCGCTGCCCTGCTCCACTATGTATTATTTCATAGCTCCCTCTTCTGGTTAAAACAAAAGTTGAAACAGAATCTCCTCAGCAGGATCTGAAAACAGGACTCGTCACCAGAAGCAATTTCCCCCCCAAACAGCTTAGTAAATCTGAGACGTTAAGTAAAAGAGCACAAAGGAACAAAAGGTAAAAGGTTTCACACCTCAGTTAGTTTAAATGGCAACACCGATCAGGCACTTTTGATGTTCTCATCTGGAGGAAATAAAACCTGGAAAATGGCCCTTTACAGTGCTAGTCAGTGCTATCAGACTATTTGTTTTATTTTCACATGAACATTCCAGGAAATATCAGTCACTTGTCCAAATATTGCCATCTAATTGGGACATACTTTTTCCCTTATCTACAATAATTGATTTGCTTATACATCCCTTTATCAATTTTCTACTTAATCCACTTGAATACCCACATTCCACTCCACCTGAGTGCAATGCAAACGTTTAGGTGCATTATTTCTCGACTGAATACATTTTTAAGGAAAACAGAACATCACCACAAAAGGGGTGAAAAGAGAGCTACACATTCTTTCGAACTACAGAGCAAAAAAGACCCCCACCCCCCTGCAAAAGCATGACAATACAACCTTGTTTTCTGTGAAAGAAAAAAGAAAAAGAAAGGGACGATGCTACCTCTGCAAAATATTTGCAGCTCCAGGGTTTCAGTGTGGGGACAAACGCAGCCTGCCCTTCCCTTCCCCGTACTGAACAAACCCCGGCTTTTGTCGCCTCCTTCCACCTGGGCCCTTGTCCTGCGGGGAAGCGCTGGAAAGGAAAGCGCTTTGACCCCCGTTCAGGGAAAATGCCCTACTGGAGAAATCTACTGTTGGAATCTTTGCTCATTTACTTCTTTAGCGGGGACGTGCGAGTCATTCAGTCCGCTTACATGCAAAGCCAACTCTGCAGCTCCTTTTACATTAACAGTGAACTTGAGGGGAGAGTTTTCACATGACTTAGAAAATTAATAATTTATGCCATGGCATTTACAGAGAAGGAGTATGTGTAATTCGGCAAGTGTTACTACATGGATAAAACTGGAAACAAACAAAAAAAAACAAAAAAAACAAACAAACATACGTTTTGATGAAGTAGAATAATGTAGAATGTAGTTATTGCTTGAAACTTTTAGAGTTTGAATTAGATCAGATGGTAAAAGATATGGCCCTACTCTGGAATGCTTTCGATCCAGTTCCTTGAACCCCTTTACATGGGGAAACAAATCTAAAGGAAGCTGTTCGTAGGTTCAGCACTCAAGTGCAGGCACCTCCGAGAAAGCCACAAGAAACGTTTTACCTTTAGACTGAGTGAAATCTGCAGATCTGACGTTTGATTTAAATCAATGTTTTACATTATTGCATGGAGAACACCATCTCATAGCTACAGAAAACAGGGACAGGGATAAATCTGATCCTTCTTACTTTTGCTGTCACATTTACGGATGAATTACTAGGTCAGACACTACCAACTAAAAGCCCTGAGAAATGATCTGGCGAGACCGTTGTGAAGAACGGAGAAAAGCCTGAGAGTGACAGCACATCGGGACTGGAAACGCTTCCCGTTTCATCGTGAGCACGTTTTCATGGTGTGCTACATAAAACCTAGCTCCTACTGTCAAGCTCGAAATAGATGTTTTCATGCTCACCTCCTCTATCATGCCATCCATGGCGTCCGACAGTTCGGCTTTGGTAGCGTCGCTGGCCACCATGTTCCTCAGTCTTAGGCAGTACTCCCTCAGCTGAAGCAGACCAAAAAGGAAAAAAAAAACAAAGAGTCAACGCTGTCTCATCAGGGAAATAGTTTACTGAAGAAAGGCTCGAGTGAGGTGAACGGATGGAGAACTTTGAGAAAAATGTGCCAACGTACCTTGTGATTGAGGATGTCATTCATTCGGCGTGAGGCCTCTGAGCTGTGTGACTCAGGGAAACATTTCTTTGGAAGCACGCCGTACTTTTCTAAAGCAGAGACAAAATAACAATGTCTTTCTTTTAATATATACTGAACATATTCAGTGTCCTCTATACAAAAAAGAACAAAACAAGACCACTGAGCGTAGTTAGTCATTAACAAACCAATGAGGTTGACCAGCATGTCCCACTGTCCTCCATCGTTGGTGGGATTGGAAAGAAGGAACTGGACCAAGCGTCCGTCCACAGCCTCCTTCCTCTGTGCCGTCTCCACACAGGCGTGGAGGAAGTAGTAGCAACGCTCAATCTGTGGGAAAAATAAAGAGAGTTAAGCGAACACAGCATTATTGGTAACCAGAGAAAAGGAATCGCCAAATAATCTAATGATATATAAAAGTCAAATTTATATATAAAAATCTATAAAAATTCAAATTAGAGTGCGGGTGCCAGGAAAATGTTTTCTGAGGTGTCACGGTGATGTCGGCCCAGGGAGAGCTCTGCATTCGACACAATGTAGGGGTTAAGCTGGACAATGACTGCATAGTAGCAGCACGCTGCATAAAAAACACTGCCCTCACACACGTGTGCTGGTGAAGATCAACCAAAACATTCCATTCAGCAGATCGCCACGAAACACACAGCTAAAAATAGCAAATGACCCAAAGAAAAGAAGAAAAAAAACGTTTGGTGGGTTTTCTAACCTTGTCCCAGAAAAAGAGATAGGACTGACTAAACTCAAACTCCTCTATGTTGAACTTCTTCATGAAGGGAAGTCGCATGACGTTGAGGCATGAGAAGATCCAACATCTCCCTAATGAGAAGAAAAAAGATGAAGACAGATTTATTGCATTGTGAAAGGATACATCATGGCTACCGGCTGAACGTCCAAAAGCAGAACAGGACCAGAAAAACTGGAATCTCTCACAGAGGCATGGTAATATTTTTGGCCTTGAAGTTCAAAAGACTATATTCTACTTTTAGCTGTACCCGTAGTGCATGCGCTGCTTTGGCTTGTGACCATTTTAACTTCTCAAGCAAACAGATTTCATTCCAGACTAGTCATTTGACGTTAAAAGCTGCAGAACACACGGCCCTACCTGAGTTTTTCTGGTTGGTGACGGGCTTGCCCTCTGTGGAGATGGAGTGCTGGAAGATGTGCACGGTATCTTGGACAGTCTGCCGGTGTAGACAGACCTCCAACGGGTCGATGCAGGTGGACACATTCTGGGCCAACAGGTAACGTGGCTCGGCCTTCAGCCGCTTGATAAAGGTGGATACCTTCTCCTTAGACAAACCTGGAAGGAAGACAAAAAAAGAAGCTAAAAATTAGGTAGAGAGTTGTATAAAAAAAAAATTTTTTTTTTTTTTTTTTTTATCTGGTGGATGCACAATAAAGGATTAAATAGAAACTTTGAACATTTATCAGAGAGCAAAAGACTCACAGGAGGACTTTGCTGCATTCGACTCCATACCAACGGGGCATCTGTGAGCTTCAGATGCACAAACTTCCCGCTTGGGATCCGACTCACAAGCACTCACAAGCGCTCGAATGTCCCACTAATACCCGGAAAGTAACCGATCAATAATCATAAACCAACAGCACATCCTTTATCGAGCACATCAACCGTCCGACGCTTCCATTTGTCCGCCATCTGACCAGAGATTCAAGTGGAAAATTGCCCATTAAGATTAATGATCCCAATTATAGTTGGACCCCTGTCAGAAAATAAACGAATAAATAAGTTATGAGGGAAACAGGTCGGGGTGGGGGAGCAGTTGTAAATAAAGCCAGGGGGAGGAACACATTGGCTAGCTTGGCTGTTGGAGGGGTATGAGAGGTACTGGCACCTGTGTGTGGTTAGCATCTCTGTCAAGTAGCGGTGCAGAGCAATTAAAAATTGAGAGGGACATCGCCCAGTCATGCATGGAGCCTAGTTTGACTGCTTGCCCCCCAACACCCCCCCACCCCCAACCCTCCACCCGTTCTCAGCTGAATTCCGTTATATCCCTTCACCAGAAACCTGAAATACTCTGACGCCGTCCCATTGCATCCGACGGACTCTGTGAGCTGTCATGCCCAACTTATCAAACACAGAGAATACTTTCAGAGCTACAGTGACCCGCATGAAGTTCCCATTCCAGCATGAAGCTGTTTTCGTTGTGGTTCCCAGCACGGAATGAACGTCTATTGTTGAGGCTCGATGGCTTAGAACCACCGGAAGTCCTTTCAAATATCACATGTGAAGTAGGCTACCTGTGCTCAAAGCTCTAAAGAGACAAGTTTTTAAGTTTTTCAGGCTTTTATTATTATAATTATTTTTTAAGTGCAGGAATGAAGGGGGAGGGAAGAGAGTATGGTGACTTTCTATGAAGTGGGGTCAAGCACAGAGGGTCAGGGTGACTTGCAAATTCACAAATAAGTGATTATGCAACTGGGTTTTATATTAACCGCGAACTCCTTCATACACATCGCTGCTTCGTGTGCAAAAAGGGCTGGACTACACCTGGATTTTAGCCTAGGAATGTGGACCCACGAAGCCAAGAAAAACAGACAACGGAAAAATATATATCCAACCACGGAGAGAGAGTGTTATAAGGCCACTGTAAACCTGTTCGTGACGGTTACATTTGTCTCAAGAACGCTTGTCGGACACGAGTTCAAATACCAAATCCTCCACTTTCTAAGAGGAAGAGCGTTGTAAAACCCTGAGGGAGGAAGCAGTCCATAGCCGAGTGGAGTGGCTGCTGAATAAATTACACTATTTAAAAAAAACACTAAAGACATCTGGATTTAACGGTTTGCTTTCGGGGCTCACTCACTTGCTTACAAAGCCTGCTCATATCAAGCAAATACACTTTATTGAGACTTTAATAAGTCAGGCTTGAACCAGAACGCGAGGCGGGCTTTCGTTTCTTGGGTCCCGCACCCCACAGTGTCCAGTGGAATGGTTAAGGCTTGTTAGCTGCCTGTGCCCACGGTTTGAAGGTTGGCCCCAGACTGACAATTTTGTCGGCACGACCTGTCAACGAAGCCCAGCAGACGACGGTGAAGTCATGCTAGCTGGGTGGCATGCTACGGCAATGGATGCTAACTTAGCCCGTTAGCTCCCTCAGCTGTCACCCCGCTCAACTGCTAAAAAGGCACGGCGCGAGGCCGGTGCGGGACTCGGACCGCCCGTGATTCAAACGGGAGAGACTGGCGCTCGACCTACCAGTTTCCATGTTCCCGGGGAGATTGAGGAGAGTTGACTGTTGTCCTGAAAAGTCACCGGCTCTTTGTTTATCTCATTCACCGACAGTCAGTGTGATCACGGGGTGCGTTTGTTTATGGAGCCGGAATCTATCTTTGACGTGGCGGTGGGGCGGAGTTTGCTCACGGTGGAAAACGAGGACCTCCGTCAAAAAAGTAAAAAAAAAAAAAAAAAAAAAAAAAAAAAAAAAAAAAAA